GTTGTAATTGGATTTTGTTTGACTCTCCAGTGTCTGTATTGATAGAGTGGTAACAAACGGACACTTTTTCAATAACATCTCAAACAGGGATAAGTCAATGAATTTGTTGCCCAACACATCCCAGTCGCCGGTTCTCTTCATTCTGGACATTAACCGGTGGCTGACATTGAGTTCGCGGTGTTTGCCATAAATACATCGTTGAAATTGTCGGGAAACGCATTCGTATTGAAATTTGCATTCAATCGGCAGATAATCTAATATCACTTCACAAAAGTCATCACAAAATCTATCAAATGATGTTTTGCTGTAAATGGNCGGTGTTTGCCATAAATACATCGTTGAAATTGTCGGGAAACGCATTCGTATTGAAATTTGCATTCAATCGGCAGATAATCTAATATCACTTCACAAAAGTCATCACAAAATCTATCAAATGATGTTTTGCTGTAAATGGCTGGCATTTTTACCGTATTGCAATTTTTTCTATAGATTAATTAATGTTTAAGTTTAATAAATATACTGTTTATTAAAATATAATAAATTATAATTTCACTATAAATAGATTTCTAAATGAATTACAGTAAACGAACGCCAAATTCAAATACTATTTGTCACACAAAATATACAATTTATAAATATGTTTGACTGAATTACATCTCAATAACATTCAATGATATTCTGTTATCAATGGTTTATATGACAACTATTATCATAAGTCGTTATATAAAGTCGTTATAACTTATTAACCGAAATTAGTCGTTGAAATGTAATTACAAAATCAATATCATTATCATTGGAATTAGTTTATTAGCTATAAAACATAAAAACACTATGGTAATACAACAACTCATTCAGCCAAAGTAAATATATTGATTACATAATCAATCATATTATGTACAGTCATTTTAGTTAAATATAAATTGCATTAATGACATAATAAACATAAATTTTATACAAAAAAACAAAATTCATTACAAAATGCTGTTTAAATACAGTCATATCATAGACACTAAACATATTCATTAAACAAAACACATGTAACGCAAAGAATTATCAACTATTTTGCATCATTTAATTTGACACCATTTGACATATAATGGCTAAACAACTAAAAACTATTTTACAAAGTGTTTAATAAACACAGTTTATCTCTTTTCAATGCCAACGATAACAGTTTTGGCGGCTATGAGTCGAGTGATTGTCTTGAACTCTAAGGGAACCGCTGTTTGTGGGGACCGGAAGAAGCGGAACCGTTGCAGGATTTGCAGTAACCCTAACTTGGCCTCCATTAGCGCGAATCGCATACCAATGCAATTACGGGGTCCGGCGCCGAACGGCAGGTATGTGTATGGAGTGATTTTATGCCGATTTTGGGGCAAAAATCGATCAGGGTTAAACGTATCCGGCTTTTCGTAGTACTCGTCCGAGTGGTGTATGGCGTATACGGGTATCTCCACGGGTTGGCCCGCGTATAGACGGACACCGGTATCGCCCAACTGATAGTTGTCGGACACGGATTTGCGCTCCAGACGCAGCACAGGTGGGTATAGGCGTAACGTTTCGGAGAGCACGGCATCCAAATACGGCAATTTCGACAACTCTTCGTAACTGATTTCTCCGTTCGCGTCCACCGAAGCCATCACTTCCTGGTGGAGGCGCTCCTGAACTTCAGGATTGAGTGCCAACTCGTATGAACAGAATGTCAATGTCGTGGCTGTGGTCTCGTAGCCCGCGACGAATATTATCCATCCCTGAGCCATGATTTCTGTTTCTGTCAACTGTTTGTTCAATATATTACCCGACAGTGTCTTCCTCTCAACCGCCAACTCTTCCTCTCCTATTATAATGACATTAAATTTAAATAGTTATTGAAAATTAATTTGTAAAACATTAGTTATTTTATCATAATGTTATTGAAACTAACCCTCATTCACGTGATGGGCTTCGTTGGCGTCATTCTCGTCGTGCAACTCATCCTTATCTCTCTCGGCGTCCACAAGAAGTTGTATAAAATCATTGTATTTCTTGCTGTGTTTCCCACCATTTTGTTCGGCCTTTCGCTGTCTTATAACGTGTTGAGTGGTTTGCAGGAAGAATTGATGGGCGCTTTCGGTTGCGCCCGACCTAATGCCCAGCGCTGTGAGCGCCCAACCGGGCAGTAAAAACAGCGGCAATTGTCTCCATAGAATCGGGTTAAACACTCGCTGGCCGTTCACCACAAAAGGATTATTACAATCCTTATGTGAGTTGGTTTTGGTGGCGAAGGCGCACCGGGCGATCACATCCATCGTGAAGTTCCCGTGCATGTCCTTCAGGTTAATGTCCGCCCCATTGGCCGCCGACACGTCCAACACATCGAGAAACTCGTTCAAACACTCTCTGATCATTGGATACATTTT